AGCCTACCCCCCGAGTCCCCAAATCCTGTACTCCCACTCGCAGTCGAAAGTGGCTGGTGCGTGGTGGGGAGCCTCCATCCCGAGCCTCCAGCTCCAGCTCATGGGCTGGCCCCCCTGGGGGCCCCAGAGGTCCCATAAGCTGTACATGGCCTGTGGTAGGGTCCACAGTGAAGGCCCCACCACCCCCAGCAAGCAGGGTAAAGGTGACTCGACTGTTAACACCTGAGTCAGGGTCCAGAGCCCGCAGCGTATAGATGGGAGTCCCTGGGGCAGTGTTGGGTGGTAGCAATACTGTGTCTTCAGGTGCAGGGAAGGCAGGGGCATTGTCATTCACGTCATCCAGCAGTACACGCACCCGAGCCACAGCAAAAGCCGGGGGCACTCCACTGCCTGCTCGCACCTCCAGCTCCAACACTGGTCCGAGCAGCTCCCGGTCCAGAGGGCGGACTGTTTGTAACAGCCCTGAGGCTGCATCTAGGGAGAAGAGTCCTCGGGGATCTCCGCTTGATAGGGCAAGGGTCACAGGCCCCAAGCGACCTAGGGAGGAGAACAACAGTCAGGAAGGAGATAAGGAGGCACCTACAGGGTCAAGGCCCAGATGCTCTTCCCAAGAGGGGCTAAGCAGTGCCCACACCTGTGCCTTTCAAAGAATCAGGAGAAGGTCAGGTGGTTGGCACTGTGGCGATAGGCTGGCGTGCCTGAGGGTGGTGCATTGTGCCTGAAGATCGCCTAAGGTGTTGGGCATGGGCACTGCAGTGCCTGTTACTGGGCCGATCTGCGGTATGATACTCCAGGGTAAATTGACAGGGTGCTGGGGGTTACAGTGGGGTTTCTGAGTGTGGCACCAAGTGGGTTTCATGCTAAATGATACCTGGTGGGTTGTGTGCCTGGATAGTGCCCACACTGGTGCCTGGTGCCACATCCTCTGGCACAGAAAACACATACTGCAGTTGCTCAAATATGGGTGGTGTGGGGGTTCCAGGCACAATGCTGATGTTGACCCGGGCGCTGGGTTCTGCCTGCAGGCCACCTCCATCCTGGGCCCCGATTTCCAACTGCACCACAGAGTTGGCCCGTCTGGCCAAAGGCCAGGCTACTGTCAGCAGCCCTGCGAAGAGGGATGAAAGCAGAGAAATGAAACAGAATAGGGTCAGACGCATTATGGGGAAGAAGAGCGAGATACTTCATTTAGGCAGGGGTGGGGGGCCTGGAGGCATGCTCCAGGAACAGAGGTTCCTCACCTGAGTGCTCATCCAAGGCGAAGAGCGGGGGGCTATTGCCAGCCAGGATGTGGTAAGAGAGTCGCCCATGGGGCCCCTGGTCGGGGTCATGGGCACGCACCCTCAGCACAGCTGTGCCTGGTGTACTCTGGGCACTCAGACTGGCAGCATACTCCCGGGGGTAAAACTGAGGCGGGTTGTCATTCTCGTCTGACACAAACACCTTCACGTATACCATAGACTTGAGGCCTCCCTGGTGGGACACGAAGCCATTAGTCAGGTGGGCCTTGTCTGGCCCTGCAAGTGCCCTCCTCCATTGTTCCAACCTGCCCATGGCCTGCCACTCACCCCATCCACAGCCGTCACCGTGAAGTCAAAGCTCGAGGGCCCCTGGTCGCGGTCCAGGCTCCGGATCGTGCACACATCACCAGTGTGGGCATCAATGCGGAATGGGGGAGTGCCCGAGGTCCCAAGTCCAGCACCCAAGGAATAGGAGAGGAGGCCAAATGGGCCACTGTCTGCATCTGTGGCTGTCACCTGGGGAGAGGCCAGGATGAGTGATGCCCCCTCTTGTTAGTCAGAAAAGCCATGGTAACTAGAAAAAGCAGCTGGTGCCCGGGGTTTCCAGACAATGGGCACACAGAAGGGAAAGTAGAACATGGTACCAGACCTACCCCCAGCCTACACCTCCCCCCTGGGCTCCTGAGAGCCTCTGGTCACAGCATTTTTTGTTACCTTGTTTGATGTATGTTTCTATTTAAAGACCCTTTAATATATACATTGTTGATTCATTGACATTAAACTCACTGTAACCCATGCCTGAAGGAAGCTTACAAACACATGTATTTTCTTCAAAGGCACATCACAGCCTTCTTACACTGAAGAACTATAGACAGTACTTCAGCACTATACTTAAGGACCATTTTAAACAGCAAAATCACCAACAAAAACAAAAAGCATGTCACTAAGTACACCTCAAAATGTACACGTGTTTATAGCATGAGAGCTGAAACCAGAAGGCAGGTGTTTCCAGCCTCCTCTGGGAACGTGTATGTGGCATGACTCAACTTTTCATTGCTCTGTGCATGTCCAGGAATGACTGCCAAGGTGCCACAAGTACTGCTCTTGGGGTTACAAATCAATCTTAAGAGAATAAGTGAATTTGCACGTAGTGAGGACTAATTGCACTGACAAAGATGAAGGCTCAGGGCTATGACCTCACATTCCAGGTGGATCACAGGAAGTTAACACTTTCACATTCTCACGATCACCCCAGGTAGAAAACTGACTGACAATGGATTGAGACGGGACGTTGCATGTCTGATCTCTATTGAGTTTCATTACTGTGGAGTGGGATCTGATTAGCACTGGGATCTAACACTACAGGGTGTGCTCTATAGCTTTATAGGTGTGGCTCATGCACCTCTAGCCTAGGACAGGGCCAATTACACAGTAGGTAGCTCTACGCTTATTTGTCCACTGAGCAAATGGGCATTCTGGTCATCCCCCTTTGCAACAAAACCTTCTTTCACGCCAAGTTTTAGGCGCGGGGTGTACACGAGGCCCTTGATACTGGTGAGCCGGTGCTGACTGTTGCAGCCCATGACAAAGTGCTCTTTGTCGGTATATGAACCTCGAGGTCATAGCTGCTGCAAGAGGAAGCTGGAGAGTTCCCCTTTCTCAGCCAGAAAATGTGCTCAGAGAGAAAGCTGGCCAAAGACTTCTGATTGTTGCCCAGGCTCTCGACAGAAGTGATCTGTGCCATTGTTTACCCTCCTGAGAGACACTAAGACCCTGCCATGGCTGAACCCTGGAAACAACTTCTGCTCCAATTCTTTGTGGCTGTGGGCCCGGATATCCCAGGAGACAAACTTCCCCCGCATCAATCCTGGCGGGCAGCAGCACAGCTGCGGCAGCATCTCCAGAAGCTGTTAAAGACCTTTGCCCTCTGACTCGCTGCAGGAAGAAAGCAATAAACAGTGGTCGGGGAAGTTGTCAGGAAGTGACCCCAAAAGGTGCAGGGGCCATTGACTGGAAATGGCCAGGGCAGCAGTGAATTTGTGGGCCTGTGCAGCCTCTGCTCAGAGGTTTCACTGCCAGTGTGAAAGTCTCCATTTTCAGCAGGTTCACAGTGCGGTTTCTCAGCCCTCTCCCACGCTACCAAGCTATTACAATAACCCTCGCCCCTCTCCTCTTGCCCCCACCTTACTCCTTGCTCTCATCAGATGCACTATTTCAAGGAGCAAAGAAAGACCCTTATCTGTGAACTCTTAAATTCTTACCAGACTTAAACTTCCTGCCAACCTGACCTCTTTCCCAGGCATCCCTCCTGCTCTGACTTTGACACACTGTCCCGCTTCTCACCCTCATCCCCACTGCTTCTCCAACTTCCAGTCTTCCTGCTTCTCAACACCTCCGCCCCCCGCCCCACTGCTCTGCTAACTTCCAGTCTCTCTCCATCTCCCCTCGCTCTGCGTGTTCTTAGACAGCATTGCTCCCTGGGATCTCTCCTTGGCCTCTTCTCACGCTACACACTTGCCCAGGGCCTTCTTTCACTTCCGTGGCTTCAGCCATCGTCTGCTTTCACTATGGACTATTCCTCTGGGCTCCAATCTGCATATCCAGATGTCTGCTCAACATCTCCACTTGGCTGTCCCACAGGCACCTGAAATCCAGCCTGTCCAAAACGAAACTCACGATCATCCAAACATGCGCTAATGACTCTTCCATCCACATGGTGGCTCAAGCCAGAAGTCAGTTCTTCCTTTTTCTTACCTGGTATATCCATCAACTAGGGACTAAGTAAGTCCTCACTCTTTCTTCTATTGTCTATTCCTCTCCATCACCATAAGCCCTGTCCTGACTTGGGCTTGAGTCATGTCTCCCCTAGGCTGTTGTAATTCCCTTCTTACAGGTGTCTGACCTTCCAGTCCATATCCCACGCCAGGACTTCTCAACCTGGCCACTCATGGGCTTCTGGACTAGATAATTCTCTGTTGCGGGGCTGTGCTATGCATGACAGAATGGATAACGGGCTTCCTGGTTGGTTCCTACAAGATACAAGTAGCATCCACCTGTGTGACAACCAGAAATGTCTCTAAACATTGCCAAATGTCCCTTCCAGGGAGCAAAATTGCCTCTAGTTGTGAACTACTGCTCTACATTAACTACCATTTGAAAAAAAAAAAAAAAAGATTATATTATTCCTCTACTCAAAAATCTTCAATGTTCTCTGCAGAAAAAAGCTCAAAGACCCTGGCTTGGCTCCTCACTGTCTGGCTTCCTTGCCATCTCATCTCCCACTCTCCCGTCTCACATCTGAAACTGCAGAGTGACTGAGCCACTTTAGGCCCTCAAGCAAGTCTGGATGTCACTTCTGCTTAGAACCCTGTCCCCATCTGGTTCCCTCATAAACTCCAGCTCGTTCATTAAGTCTTAACTTAAGGGCCCCTTTCTTTGGAAAAACATTCATACTGCCTATCTATACCTTATATGTATTACCATCATGCACATTTCCTTTTTTTATTATTACATTTTTTCCTTCCTTTCTTCCTATATTAATTGCCAGAGGACACGTGTACTTGCCAGAGAGAGACAGGAGACAGAGACAGAGAGGAGAGGGAGAAAGCAATGGGGTGTGATTGTGCTGCAATCCCTTCTCTATTTCTTCATCCTGTCAGGATGTAGGGCACATGGACAGCCAACCAACATATTTTTCAAGCAACAGGGTCCGGATTCAAACCTCCATTGGCCATGTGGGATCTGGCTTCCTTAACCACTTGGCTATGGGATTGCCCCACGGAAGTTTTCTTATTGCAACAAAACTTTTTTTGCACAAGAATCTCCTCCTCTAGACTATAAATTCCATGATATGGGAGAAGTATGACTTATTCACTAACTGTATTCCATGTCCCTAATACAGTGATTGGCACATGGTAGACCCTCAATAAATGTATCCTGAATAAATCGAATGTTAAGACTTCTTGTAACAGTTACGAATTCTCAGTGGTCCATTTTAAACCTGCTTCCCATGGTTACTAATAGTAAAACTCCAGGAAACCACCTGGAGAGTTGCCCTCTTGCTTCAGGCAAATTA